CACGGAATGTCCCCGGGGCGCCCGGCGCGCTGACCCCGCAGCCGCCTCCGTCTTCGGCGCCTGCTGCCTCTCTCCGGCGGGCTCCGTGTTTGGGACCGCGAGCTTCCTGGCTGCCTGGCCGTGGGGAAGCCCCCGGGGGCGGGTGACCTTAACTGGCCACGACCCAGCCCTCCCCCGTGCGTATATCGCTTAAGATGGCAGCGGAGTCAGGGGAACTAATCGGGGCTTGTGAGTTCATGAAAGGTGAGGAGCAGCCGCCCCGCATCGTCCACCCCTCCCCAGCCCCCAACTCTTCACTTCTCTCCGGTTCGTCCCCACCACGGCCGCCGGATTTTCCCGGGGACTCCAGTGTCCTGCAGCCGCTGTGCGCGCTTTCATCCCCTTGGTACTCTCCTCTCCCCAAGGACCCTGTGCTTCCGGCTTCTGTCTTTCTTTCGTCCCCGGGTTCCCTCTGCAGCTCCCTCGGATGGCCTCCTGGCTGGTCATGGGACACCGCTGGCCTCTGCTCAGGCTTCTGCACGCAGCAGCTAGTGGGGATCCTGCACGGCTTGTCCTTTCGGGCACCTTTACCCCACCTTTGCTGGGCTCAGTTCTCGGGACACCCCCTACCCCAACCATACCCCCCTGTCTCTCCTCCCTTCCTCTTCTTGAAGTCTCCGGAGCTGCAGGGAAGGGGTTTGCCTCTTCCCCTTCCGCAGCTGCTGCGGTCTGGAGATTTCGGAAGCAAACTTGCATCTCCTGTTCTGCGGGTGCCCCCGGTTCAGGTCTACTCCCGCCAGCCTGAGACTACCGAGACGTGAGGACTCTGCCCCCTGCTGAGTCCCTCCTGGGTCCTCTCTCTGTTGTGCTCTGGAGGCTGTAGGTTTCTGGGTGAGATCGGGTTTCTGCAAGAATTCCACGTGTTAATGGGGTCTTTAAACTGTAGGTCACATGTATTATTTTCTTTCCTGTATTATCACCACCCTTCACCTCCACTTCCCTGCTTCTCATATGTTTTCTCTTGTCTTTTACACTTGTCTTTCAGATCGCTTATATTTTGCTACTCTAAGGAATAGACCAAAAAGCACAGTAAATACACACTATTTCTCCATCGATGAGGAGCTGGTCTATGAAAAGTAAGTCTATATATATATATTTTTTTTTTCTTTCTTCTCACAATCATTTAGCTTACTGGCTCTTTGATGGGGAAACTCTGTGCCTCCATATGACAGTTTTATTCACCCCCTCACCCCCCCCACAAGAAACTCTATATAGGTGAAAAGGGAGATGCAGGAAAAATGAACATTGTTTGAACCTATCAATGCCTCAGTCCTTTCAGATGTCTATCTGTGTTAGTTCTTCCTACACCTACACAAATAGCAAATGTAGATTCCTAGCCACTCCCCCAGGAGGACCTAGGAGACACATACTCTGTTATGGCCAGACTGTAATTGCCCTGTGAATCAGTCACCAGGTATTTATGGAGCAGCCACAGGGTACAGGACAGTGGGTGTCTTACAGGTGCTTAGCCTGGACAGCTCACAGGGCTTTTGTTGTATCTCAGGATGTTTTGTTTGCTCATTTCCAGAAGTGGGACACATTAGCTACAACAAGCTGTATTCAAGTCCTGTATATGAGTAAGGCTTGGTCTGTATGACAGATTAGTGAGTTCTTTTATTTGGGTGTCCTTGGCTTCATGGTATGGTAGTCTCTCTTTTGCCATGGAGTAAGCAGTATATGAGTGCTGATTTATTTGCTTTTGTTACTTTGTGTCTATGGGATTAGAATTTGAGAGTGTTAGTTAAGAATAGGGAATTTTCCTGTGAAACACCATTGATTTACAGGAAAAATACATCTTTTTAAAATAACACTTTTAGGTTTTATTTAATTTTATTATTATTATTATTTTTAATTTGAAAGAAAGAACAAGCTGCCAGGTCTAGGACTCGAACTGGTTGGCCATCTGGGAGTCAGTTTCTTAACCACCACACCAACTACCAGCTCTGGAAAGATACATTTTAATGCTTTAGGCGTAGTAAAAACTTAACTGAAAAGATCTAATACTTCTTTCAATGAAAGCAGTAGATAATAAGTAATAAGGCTTAATTGACTTGGTCATGTTCTTTTATTAAAAGACCTGATGTTGGGGCTGGCAGGTGACAAGGTAGTTAAAGTGCTAGATTTTCACATGGCTGACTGCTGTTTGAGTCCCAGACCTGGTGGCTTGCTTTCTCATGTACTCTCTCGCTCTCTCTCTCTCTGGTCAAATTAAAAGAAAAAAAAAAAGCAACAATAATAAGTAAAATAAAATAATTCGTTACATAAATGAATACTCTTTAAAAATAATTATTTATTTAATTTCATTTATCGTCATTGTTTTTCAACTCGGCCAGAAGAGACAGAGAGAGAGAGAGCAGAAGTGTGAAAGCAACTAGATCTGGTACCTGAACCGTGGTCTGCCATGTGGGAGTCCAGCGCCCCAACCACCACACCCTGCGCCGGCCCCAAAATAAAATAATTCTTTAAAATTAAAAAAAGAACTGATGTTTCCTAGGAATCTAATATAATCTAATTTAAGCATCTAAATATTTCTTATCATCTTAACCAAATGTGCAGTTCAGCGAGCATAGCTAAATGAACCATTAGGGAGTCTCCTAGGACTTGTCCTCTTAAAAGAGATAAAGGCTGTTTTTTGCCTAAGCATTTGTGGGTACCACCAGGCTTCGAAGAATGACTATTCTGGACCTTTAAGAATGTATCTTTTATTTGAGGGAAAACAATCTTTAATTGTCACTTCATCATAGGGGTTCTTGAGACTCCTGTCTTCAGGACATTTCTCTTAGTGGTGCTGGGCAGACGATGCTTCTTGAATGGCAGAAGTGAGAGTGGGAATGAAAGAGCCCTTTACTGCTGCTCCTGAATGCGCAGAATTGCTGAGGCAAAGAGGTCTAAATCCCCGGTGTCAGATTACAGCTCTGCTCCTAGACAGAAAGGAGTTCTGCGCAGCCTGCTCCCTGACCCCAAGTACCTGGGTGATGTCACTGCCAGCAGTGTTCATTGAGTGCTCTCTCTATTGTTGGAAATGTGCATTGTTGTGGCTTTCTTTTTGTGAGTTTAGGATCTGGAGACCTCTCTTGAGCTGGGGGTAGGGACTGTGTATATGCCATTATGCTCAATTCTTCAGTGACTAACATGCCAGAGGTGGTGAATATGCCATTGGACGAGCTCTAGTCATTGCGGTCTGAGTCATGTCTTTTGGGATTGCAAGGTGGTAGGTCTAGCAGAAAATTACTTTGAGCCAATTAAACACAGTGTACAATGACTTTTTGATTCCAATATTTACAAATGTGGAAGTGTTTTGATTTTCTTGTTGGCATTGCAGGGCTCCAGATCACATTCTTATATTTGGTTTGCTGTATTATTGGTGTCTTACAGGGAAAGACATGGTAGAGAGGCTGTTCAACTTATATTGAGAGTTTAAATGTTATTTGAAGTGATGATGAAGGCTCCAGCCTTGGCAGAATGGGTACTTCTCTTAGCAGGGCTTGGTCTACAGCACCACAGTAGGGGCTGTGGTTGTGGTCACCTACAACACCCATCTTTTCTGTTACTCTGACATGTAACACGGTGCTCAATAATACAGAGAATAAAATGAGGGCGAATGTACACGTTACTGTCAGGGAGCTCCAAGCCTGTAGGGAA